TTTTTTTGGTATTTAGTACAGGGTCTACAGGGTCTCACTACACAGATCAGACTCGAAGTGATTCTCCTGCTTTCAGCCTCCCAAGCTCTGAGATTACAGGCGTACACTACCAACCACACCCAGTCTCAATTGCCATCTCAGCGCCCCCGGGGTTGGGGCTGGCATAGCACGCGGGGGATGGAACTCCAGTCCCTGAGCCTGCCTAAGCAGGCGCTTTAATCCACTGAGCTACCTGGTTGGCCTTTTGTGCTCACTTTTATAGCCTCCAGGCTAGTCTCGAACTCACAGAGATCGTCATGGCTCAACCTCCCGAGTGCTGGGATTACAGGCATGCACCACTAGGCCACCGTTCTGGGGCTGCAAGGTGGGCGCCTGCATCCGGGGCCAAGACTGCGGCTGGGCATCCACATCCCACTAAATCTTCGTATAAAATGGGAGAAATGGCACCTTCGTACGGTGAGTCTTTAGCATTTCTGCTTAATACAGCACTTCTCTCCATTTCTGTCCAGTTAAAAAATATTTTATAATTAGGGTGCCGTTGTAAGCACACAGATCCTGCACAATTCGTTAAACTTACCCCCAATATTTTATTTTTCAGTGATTGTGAATGGTACTTTTTTGAGAGCTTGTTTGGAGGCCCCAGCAGGGGAGCGCAGCCACTCGCGTAGCCCTGGCGGAGGAGCGGTCCTCCTCTGTTGAGGCGGTCGTCCTCCTCGACCCAGAGAGCTTCGGGAGGGACCATGTAGAGCCCTGAGCAAGGAAGGGGACGCCAGCCAGCCGGCCGGCCAGCCCCGCAGAGCCAACCCTGGCGATCAGTGGGTGACAGAGGTCGCAGCCAACTTGCCTCACATCCATATTGTCTTTAATTTTCATGCCCATTGCTTACGTGTAAACACGCACTTGAGCTTTGTGTGTTTATTTCGCATCCTGCAGCATTGTGCAACTTGATCATTCATCCGGGAGGTTTTTTTTTTTTTTGTCTTTAAATTCCTTGAAAAAATTTTAGATAATCATGTAATCTACAAAAAGAGGCGATTTTATTTCTTTCTAATCTGCATCTCTTATTTTCTTTTCTCCCCCCTCCTCCCCTCCCCACTCTAACTGTGCTGGCTGGAACTTCCCGCACCATGTTAAATACAAGTGGTGATAGTGGACATCCTGGTCTGGTCCTTGATGGTGCACACACGCATGCACACACACACACACACACACACACACACACACACACACACACAGCAACACAGACAGAACTCAGAATGTTAGCTGTAGACTTTTAGAGGTTTTTTTTTTTTATATCAAGTTAAGACTGTCCCTTTAGTCTTACTTTTCTAGTTGTTACTTTAATGGGCATTGAATTTTATCCAGTGCTGCCTCTGAATTGGCTGATGGGATCACATGGGATGGAGCGGATGTGAGTAGGGGCGGCCCGGAGGGACCCTGGTAGAGAAGGCAGTGTCCTGCTGGTGCACACAGTCCCCGCCCCAGGGCCTCTGACAGCATCTACACGCTGGACAGCTGCGCTCCTGCCCACCTCCTGCCCATCACGATGGCGTCCACCCGCAGCCTATTCAGCCCATGCACAAGAAGAGCACCGTGGGGGACTTGGTGGAATCAGCCACTGGGACCCGGACAGGACCGGTGGGCGGTGGGCTCCTCAGGGTCCGCGGCACCGGCTCAGCAGTCACGGAGGTGCCGTGTTGTCTGTGGTCCATCTCTGCGTGTTGCTCCCCATCTCTCCAGGACGGAGTTCCACGTGCTGAGGTCGTAGAGTGCTCATGTCAACGCTGGTTCTCACGCAGCGAGTGCAGCACAGAGCGTCAGGTACGGTCACCAGGAACAGAGCAGAAGCCCCATTGTGGTGACTCCAGCCTGCTGGCTGACCCTGGCCCTGCAGAGCACAGTGCCCCTGCCTGTCCTGGGACGGCAGCTTTCCCCTAAGAGCGCCTTCCGCCCCACACAGCACTGGTCCTGCGGCACCCTCAGGACACCGGGCATCTAGAGAATGCGAGCTTGTTGGCACTGTCCAGAGGGTCTCAGGCCACCCACTTCGGCACCGAGCACAGGTGCTGTTGGGGGCCCAGCACTGCTGGGGTCAGCGGGGGAGGCAGAGGTCTTGCTCGGGTGGCTGTGGGGATGAGGTCAGGAGCTGGGAGCCGGGTAGCCTGGCCAAGTGCTGACCCAGCAGGCATATGGCCGCCTGCACCTTTTACCCAGGCAGAGCGGCTCTGGCCTGTCTTGGGGACCCATGGGGTCAAAGCTGTCGAGGGAGGGGAAAGGCTCTGAGATGTCCGGTCTTCAGGGGATGATGTTAAGGGGGTGACATGGGGGTGAGTTCACAACAGGCTGTGTGGTCCCTGGTCCTGGATCCCAAGCCTGAGTGGAGGGACCAGTGTCTGGGGAGCCCTAACAGGGCTGGGTGCCAGGGCTCCACAGGTCCCCAGCAGGCCCCCAGATGACCAGCAACAGTGGTGCAGGTCCCCTGCTGGACATGGGTGATTGTACCCCCAGAAGTTAAGTCGCCAGGCTGCTGCATCCCAGGACCAATCTCCCTAACCCCAACATGTGGCCAACGTGCTTCCTGCAGCCCATAAGGAGCGTCTAACCTTGGGAGTCGGTGCCCTGCTCTCGGGGACTCAGAGAGGAGGAAATGAGGGGTGTAAAGAGGAAAACTGGGACAAGATGCCCTCGTGGGAAGGTTCTGAAGAGAGTGTGCTGCCCCAGGGTGGCCCTGGGGGTACAGCGGAGGAGCTGACAACCAGAAGCAGCCCCTGCCCTGGGATGTGCCAGGGTGGGCTTCCCAGGCAGGGGAGGGCAGAGCAGATGTGAGCTTCACTTGGGCACCGACACCGTAGCCTATGGGTGGGCCGGGTGGTGGGCAGGGCCCCGGGGTGGGTAGACACTGGCGGGCACTGCATCTTATCCCAGGTGGCATTAAGTTGTTATTCACCGGATCCCAACAATAACACCACCACACTCCGTGATGGACGTGGACTTGGCCATAAGGATGTGGGAGGGGCATGGTCAGTGCCAAGTGTGCACCAGCCCTGGCCACAGGGGACATAAAGGGCGCCTGGAGAGGAGCGGACCCAGCCTCGTGCAGCCTGCGGGAGACCTGCTCAGCCACGAACACAGCGCTGGGATGAAGACCCTGCTCCTGACGCTTGTGCTGCTCGGCCTGGTGGCTGCCCTGCAGGCCCAGGACCCCCTGTCCCTCCAGCCAGAGGAGCCAGATGTGAGGCTGGGTGGGGGCGGCAACTGGGACGGTTTGGGGGCACTGTGTAAGGCCGGATCCGACCCCGCACTACCGGCCCGGAGTGGTCAGAGATTGAGGGGTACAGCAGATGTGGCCCCTCCTGGGCCAGGCCTGGAGTGGGAACAGTCTAGCGGGCTCTCGGGCCGCGAGGGGTCTGATAGGGCTGCATGGTACCCACACTTATCTGCTTCAGCTCACAGGGACCTGGTACACGAAGGCCTTGGTGAGCAACATGACCCTGCCAGAGGGGAAGAAGCTCAAGGTCGTGTTCCCCCTGACGGTGACAGCCCGCGGAGGTGGGGACCTGGAGGCCAGGGTCACCTTCTTGTGAGTGTGGCCCAGTGAGGACCTTTGTTCTCTTGCCGTCCTCCTCTCCCCACCACAGCTTGGATGTTGGTGGCCAAAGAGCCCTGAGTCTGAGGGGACGCAACCCTCAGGCAGTGTCCTGTAGCTGCAGCGGGGTGGGGGGTTGAGGCCAGGCTCAGGCATGACTGAGAACTGCTGTCCCTGCACCTCCTGACTGCAGGATTAAGGGGCAGTGCCACGTGAAGGAGATTCCGATGCAGAAGACCGAGGAGCCCGGCAAATACAGTGCCTGTGAGTCCTGCCCACTGCGCCCAGGCCCTGCGTGTCCCCGTCCTGGGAGCGGCGGCCTCTGCTTGCCGCTGACACAGACACCGGGTGTCACAGCCCTGTCCAGACCTGGGAGTCACCAGGTTGCGCCTCCCTCTGTCTGGCCCTGGGGGAAACTGAGGGCTCGGGACCTGGAAAGCAGGAGGACAGCTCTGGGGGGCTGCGGCCGAGCTCCAGCCTTGCTGTCCCTGGCCTCCACAACTGGAATCCACAGCTGGGTTGGCTCCTTCTGGCAGAGGGAGGGCTCCCACCCAGTCCACCCAGAGAGGGGGACGCAGCAGGGCCGGGCCTTGGGCTAGCACGAGCCTGGGTGGCTCTGGGCACATCCTAAATGCTCTCTAATGTGGTCTCCGATGCCTTCTCGGAAGGAAGATGCTAAGGCGTTTTCTTACCATCTGTAGTTGGGGGCAAGAAGTTCATCTACGTGGAGGAGCTGCCCGTGCAGGACCACTACATCTTCTACTGCGAGAAGCGAGGCCCAGGGAAGACGTTCGGCATGGGGAAGCTCATGGGTGAGGGGCCCAGAGACCCTGGCCCCTGCCTGCAGACCTGGCCCCGGGGACTCAGACACCCCGGGTCACCTTCTGGGGTCTGGGCACAGCATGCTACGGGCAGGGTGCCAGCTCCAACTGGGTCACAGGGCTGGAAGGCTAGGGATGGGGCAGACATAGCCCTCAGGGACTGGCCACTTGGGAGGTGTGCTAGGGACACTTCAGCTCCCTGGGGCCTCAGACATCAGGACAGGCCATCTGGAAGGGAGTGGCCTTCAGAGGCCTTGGGGGACAGGGCCCCTCTAGAATCAGGGCCAGCCCAGAGCCTCCAGGACAGGGGGTCCTTCCACACTAACGTGTGACCCTGCAGGACTGCTCGGGAGCTGTCCTGTCCCCTGGTCACAGGGCTGCTCAGGCCTCGGGCACCTATCAGCCAGGCGGTGGTCACCACCTCCTCCCTCTCCATTTGCCCTCAGCACTTCCAGCTCCCTCAGGTCCCCCTCCCACTTCACCTGTCCTGTGTCCTGCAGGCAGGACCCCGGAGGAAAACCCCAAGGCCCTGGAAGAATTTAGGAAATTTGCACAGCGCAAGCAACTCTCACAGGAGAAAATCATCATCCCTGAGCAGAGGGGTGAGTGGACGCCCCTGACTGTGCCTTCTCCTGTGTCCCTTGTCTCCAGTCTTTTTTTTGGGGGGGGAACTGGGGATTGAACTCAGGCCCATGCACTTGCCAGGGAAGCGCTTATTCCACTGAGCCATCTCCCCGGCCCTCTTTTTCCCAGTCTTGCCCCATGTCCCTCAAATCCCTGTGTCCCCCCAGTCTTTGTGGCCCCCTTCCCCGGTGTCCCCTCACAGGAACGCCAGGCTCCCCCGGGTCTTGTTCACGAAGGGTCTGAGCTGGGCGTGTCTGGGTCTGGGCACCAGTCCAGGCCACGTTCTCAGCTCTGGTTTCCTTGGTTTCCACAGAAAGCTGCGTCCCCGACCATGACTAGGGTGAGTGACCCCTGTGAGGATACTGGGAAGTTCAGGGGCCTGGGTTCTGGGGTTTGAGGCCCAGATGCTGGGCCTCTCCTGGCAACAGCGCCACCTTACGAGTGCCTGGGTGTAGTCCCAGGACCCGCGAGAAGTGCTTCCCTGCCAATGTTGGCTCCCTCATCCCCACTCCCGGTCCCCACAGTCCAGTACCCCCACACCTACCCAGGATGCCCAGAGATGTGACTATGGGGAGCCCCAGCACCCGGAAGGAAGCACTCTGGCCAGGCAGCCAGGTCCATGCCTGCAGCCCAGGCCAGGCCTGACCTGGGCTCCTCTTCCCAGGAAGCAGCCACTGGATCTGAACTGCGCCCTGGAGCTCTCTCCCCAGCAGACCAGCCTTGTACCAGACGGGGTCTCCAGACCTGCCACCCCCACCCCGTGCCCTCCCCGCTCCATCCCCATGTCCTCCCTGACCCCACTGATCCCACCCCACTCCAAATAAAGAACTTCAGCAGCAGCTGTGGCGCAGTTTGTGTGTGGCCCTTCAGGGGCTCCGCTAAGAAAAGAAAGTTGGGGGATCTTGAGAAGGCAGCATCCAGTGGCCCCTTGGGGCCACTGGTGCCCAGGGGCTACCTATGAGCCTCCATCTGCATGGTTGGACAAGGCTGAGCCCAGGCAGGAGCATGTGGGAAGCCACGGAGTGGGCAGGATTGGGGACATGTGCGTCACGGCTGCAGATGGTATGCAGGTCCCAGGCAGGGGTCCTGCCCAAGAAGGACTTGGGGACCCTCGAGGGCCTGCTCACACAACTGGCCTCAGTGCGGGGGTGAGGGTGGTGCCAGCCTCCATCATCACCCCTCAAGCAGACAGAACCAGCCGCAGCCCCCCCCCAGGCTCCCTCCTGTGGTTTGTCCAGGGCCAGGGTCTGCCCTGACTCGGCCTACAGGACACAGCAGCCACTGTAGGGGCAGAGGCCCTGTCCTGGTGAGAAGACACCCCAGAACCACACGTCCCAACGGGACCTGGGTCCCCAGAGGACAAGCCTCAAGTGCGCCTCTTTCCTGAGGGCTGGGATGGGTTGGCCAAGTGACCGACTGCTCAGCGGCCCTCGCCCACCTCCCGCCCGACCCTCAGTCTCCCCGCCGCCCCGTCCTGCCTGGACCCGGGGCTCGTGCTGCCCGAGGTCTGTGGAGTTCGCTGTCTCTGCGCGGGGGCCTGGAGCGCCAGGGCCGAGGCCGGGGTTCCGGGCACACACGTGCACCCACACTGGCAGGAAGTGGCCGGGGCGCAGCGGAGCGCTCGGCGAGGGCTCGGGCCTGGGACCCGGGCTGCCCTGCCCTGCGCTCGGCCGCTCTGGCGTCAGGCCTCCTCCTTCACGGCCCATCTGTCCCACGCGAGGCCCGGCCGGCTTAATCCGGGCCACTCTGCGGGCCGCACAATGGATTCTGGGTCAGATTTCAGCCGCCTTGCCCTGAGACGACAAGAGTCACGGTGTCGCTTAAGGACGTCACATGACTTTCTGGCTTTCCCTCTGCTTGTGCCCTTCGATGTTTCCTTTCTGAAGCCTCCAGCGCGGGCAGAAGCAGTCGCCCGCCTGCGGTCCGCAAGGTCCCTGCCGCTCCACGTGTGGACACGTGGGGGACCCCGGGGGTCCCCCAAGCCTTGCCTCCGGGGCTTTGATCCAAGGGTGCAGACACGCGGTGTCACCGTGGAGTCACGTCACGCCATGTCCCCCAAAAGCCCACTTTCCCCTGACAAAATGCCACACCGATTCTGCAAATGCAGGCAGTGTCGTCTGCACACAGCGACGGGGTGAGCCAGGTTTTGTGCACGTCACCAAGGCTCCGTGCCCAGCGGGTGGAATCACTCAGCCCCACTTCCCCTGGCAGGGAGAGAAGCCGGGGATGGCGCAGCCCCGTGGGGGCTCTGCGGCGTCCCGGGCCGCGGCTGGTCCTGGAGCTCTCCAGGGTCGGCGGCCCCGACGTCCATAGCTTGGTAAATGGCTCCTCTGTCCACACAGATTTCTAGGACCTTCTGAGCCAAGACCACCGCAGAAATACCGCACGCGGGGGACAGCCCGGCTAGAACCCGGCTGCCGAGGTCGCCGCAGAAGGCCCGCCCACACCGGCCCGCCCAGCCAAGAGGAGTGCGGCTCGTACAGCCCGGCAGCCTGTGATTGGTCCGCATGCACGTCTGTGATTGGCTTGTGTCCGCGACTGCTGATTGGTCCAGGTTGGTCTACTGCGCAAGCTTAGGGATCTGAGCCTATTGACTGGTCCACGTTCAATTTTACGGCTGGGTTCAAATTGCAAGGCACTGAGGTCGGGACTGACGCCTCCAACAGTGGGCTTAGGGGTTTCCAGGACACTGCAGTTATGGCAGAAAAATGGAAAGGCTGAAATCTGTCCTGGGCATGTCACATAAATGCACTCCCACAATGTGTGGCCTTTCAAGAGAGGTCGAGAGGGTGCATATTCCCCGCATCATAACAGGGAGGAATGATGTTGGTTTTAGTGCAGCTTCTACTTGAAGTGGGCGGAAGGTGACATTACTGATAACTTTCCACCGAAACATCTGGCAGCTCTCATAGACAGAATGACCAGAGACATAAGCTACCAAGGCCCGCTGGAGAAAAGTTGCTAGCTCAGGGGGCGCTAGGCCCCCTCGGGCGTGGACGCGGGGCTTCTGGGGGCGCTGAGAGCAAATTTTGATGAACATGAGTACACAGTCTAAACTACAAGTAGGCATGGAAACTTATCAGCCATTGTTCTTTCTGTTCTATTTCTGCCCCCGAAACTCTCTGCTCTCGGGGTCTTTCTTTTTTCTTTCTTTTTTGCGGCACCGGGGATTGAACTGGGGCACTTGAGCTTACCAGGGAAGGGCTTATTCTACTGAGCCATCCCTCCCACTTTCTTAGAGCCTCAAGATCTTGACTCTAAACTTCCTCATTCTTGCTGACTGTTCCTGGCTGAGGCTTGGCCCTTTCTTCTGGTTCACAAAGTAGAAGACACTGATGAACTGTGTGCTTTCTTTCAGGTGAATCGCAAGCCTAACCACTCCCAGGGGGTCTGTGGAGACACATCCACAGGAGGCTCTGCTTTGCAGATTCTCCCGGCTTGACGTGACTTTGTCAGAGGCCAAGCTTTAGATTATTATTATTTATTTTATTTTTTTTACGGAACCGGGGATTGAACTCAGGCCCTTGCGCTTGCCAGGGAAGTGCTTATTCCACTGAGCCATCTCCCCGGCCCAGGCCAAGCTTTAGATGGCTCTCCACAGCGCACCCTGACCTGTAGGGCAGAGAGGACAGGGCTGGTCCCCTAGCGACACCCTGCTGAGATGTGTGGAAGCAACCTCATTCTAATAGCCTACCAATGGATTCACAGAACCACCACAAAGCATGAATGTAGTATCTGCTTAGAGAAGAAAACCGCCTTTCCGTAAGAAGGATTTCTCAGATTGACAGGCACAGTGCCACTGAGCTACATCCCTGGCCCTGAGAGACTGACTGATTCTTACTTTTTGTTTATTCACTTGGTACAGGGTCTCACTAGGCAGCTCGGACTTGAGTGCTCCTCCTGTCTCAGCCCACCAGTGCTGGGATTACAGGAATGCGCCATCACAGGCGGGCACAGCATGTGGTACTGGGGATTGAACCCTGTCCTTGTGCTTGCCAGGCAGACACTCAGACCACCGAGCTATCTCCCCAACCCAAGAATGAGATTTATGAAAGGAAACTGGTGTGGAGAAGGAAAACCTGGGCACAAAACTGCAAAGCTGATGTAAGTTGCATAAAATTTTAAATAAATGAAAACATTTTGTGGAAGATGAGGCTGATGAAAGGATGTCCCTGTGCGTGCCAGCTGCTGTGCTTATGCTTGCTGGTGTGCTAGGCCCAGGACTGACTCCTTCTGAACTTCTCTGATGAGAAAA